CCACCTGGTGCACAACGAATCACTGGCACTGAAAGATATTGACGGGTCCAGAAATTCGGTGGTGGGTGGGTGTTAGGGTGGGGGCGGTGTTGTGACGCTCTTTCAACAATTAAATACTAGTACTAGCCAGTGCGAACATCAGTTGTAGTGGGGGAGGGGCTTCCGCAATACGAGAACCAATCACCTCCACCAGATGTTATGATGTAATATAATAAATATCGTGAAAACGCTTGGTTCGAAAATAGGCCACAATACTATCACTTTAAAATAAACTATTACAAAAAATGTATATTTTATTGCATCTATAAAACAACAACAGAAAGTCCCCTCATTGCCTATCTGAGCATAATTATTTTACTTTCCGATACGTGCACAGTAAAAACAAAAAAACTTGACTACAGACTGATGGTGGCGCTATTGTAGAATGTTATTCAAACACACACACAGTCTGCGTGTGTACTGAAACGGAGAGTTTCAGTAAACTATTTACTGCCGTGTTATCTTTTTTGTTAACTGTATTCGATGAAATTCGAAATCTGGTATACGTCACTCATAATCCGCACATGTGTAAACTTGACATTTTCTCTGGTTTGATGGATCGATGCATGGAGATTTTACGCTATGATAGTCTGGTATATTGATAATTGTGGGGGTGACATGGTGAACAACATTTGGCCAGCAAAAGTTTGCTCACCGGGACAGAAAATCCCCGTCGTGCGATTTTGAGCTAAGAGTAGACTTGCTTACTACATCAACCTCGATTTTCGTGGCATCGACGCGGTTACTAGTCTTATAAACTGTGACTTAGTTTTAATGTCGACTCTAGGTGGCGCTGTTTGTAAAAACAGTCTCGTCATAGTGATTTTCACATATCGGTTAAAGATGATGTAATCGTGCAAACACGTAATCTCACTTTTCTCATCATGGGGGCACAAATATGGATGCAAATATAAAACACGAAATCACTGCTATTACCGCAGGTTCGGTGTCAAAAAAAGTATACTGTGTCGACTTTACACAGCTTGCACCTCGAATAACTATCGGTCCTTGTAAATAACAAAAAGGCCGGGGCTACCGAGTTCTAAAAAGAAATCTTGTCCTTTAGACCCAGTAAAACGACACTCCGCCAGCTATACTACATCAAGTCTCAGAAGTATTGGGACAACAAGATAGCAAACTTGCTCACTGACTCGCCAAACACTTTTGTCTAAGCAGATGACATATCCTCGGGGGCGGAGCTACGTCACGAACGTTCTACGTTGCTAAGACGCGCACCACTGTACCACGTATTTCTATGGGCTTTGTGCGCGCTGCTGTGGAACGCCGGTGGAGCCGGTGAAAACTCGAGAAAACAACACAAACTCAACTTTGAAGTAATTCTGAATAACCAAATTCATATATGTTACACACGTAGGACTAATCTTGTTACACTGTTCAGGGGAATCTCAACAACCATCGCAAAGTACCGTTTTCTGCGAGTTTTTGGTCTTTGTTTTCACCGCGAGGGTTGTCAGGCGGTAGAAAATGCCCGGATGTCCGCCCCCGAGGATACAATTCGAATATTACCCTTCATTCTGTCAACATCAATTGAAAAGATAGTAATCTCGACAAAAAAAAAGTTTATGAGGTTTTACGGGACAGTAGATCATGCAAAACCATTTGTGTTGGTGAAATCTGATTAGTCAAAACCAGAGTTGTCAGTGAATCAGTGATTACTTCTGAGAATTTCTGTAAGCATTATGGTAGGCATGGCAGAACACGTTCTGCGCTTACGTGTTTGTGCTGTTGTTACGTTCACTGCGAGAATAACGCGTTATGCGTCAAATCGAACGTAAAAACAGGACAAACAAAGGTCATAGCGTCGTAGTGGCGTCAAACATCGACAAACGCGAAAGTATTTTGGGGGACATTTCCATGCTTAATAATGTGCTGTACAAATTTGATGATAGGCAATTTCGATTAAGTGAGGGTATTCGAAAGCAATATTCCTCTGTCGAAGATCTGCCGGTCGATGTGAGCTACGAAACAAAGAAATTCGAGTTCAAAATCAAATCGTTCAATTATTGCGGCAGACGTTCGACGCACATCTTTCATGCATCTCGCGATATCTCGCAGTTGAACGGAAAATCACCTATTGAGATAGTGGTTTAAAGTTGGGATTGGAGGAAAAGAATGCGGCGAAAGCATACATGCATCAAAATGATAGTACTACGTCACGAACCACTTCGACTCAAGGCCCAAGGATTTTACAGCTTTCAAATCTAGAGGCACTGGTTCAGTTAAATTATTGTAAAATAAATTTAAAAAAAAAAAGAATTATTACAGAAACTGGTTCAATTGCTTGCTTTTTAAGGAATCAGGGTGACAGTGGACCACTTTCTGTCCAGTCCCCTTGTTCACGTTTGATTTCTTTTTGTTAACAAAAAATAGCTGTCGTAAATACATTGTAATTATATTACCATTAAGACAAATTTAATCAAAACATTGGTAACAACTTTAATATAGACTACTAGTATGTCGTCGGACGTGGTTGGCGATTGTCACGTTATTGCGCCCTCACCGACGGGTACTACTAATAATTGCCAACCAGGAATGAAGAAAATATTTCATGCAAGGTATTGCAGAATTATTTTAACACATTTATGAAATACTAGTATACAAAATGCACAGATAAGAAACCATAAAACATTTACCCCCCATGATTTCAAATAGTAGACCCCCTTATTTTATTGTCAGCATTTGACGGTTCCCACTCTCCATGAAGCGGCGCTGTTTGCTGTTCATTTCTGGTCACTACACTTCAGTTCACTCAAATCACTATCGTTCGTTCGTTTCCTTCTCTCGATTCTTTTTAATACATTCGTTCATTCGATCAAGTCTTGTTTTAAATCATCTAATTCAGTTAAAACCGCGTCGTCGTCGCACCGCGTCCTGATCGATATGGGACTCATAGCGACGCACACAAAGCGTGTAAAATACATTGTTTATTTACATGAAATTCGAACACGCGCTGCGCGACGACCACCGCGCTTTAACCAACAATAACTTACAAAATAAACTTGTTACAAACTGCGCATTTACTTTGTGGTTTAAACAATGTTTTCAACTATAACTTCTGATGGCGGCATTCAACATTCACGTTCAAGTCCTACTCCAAACATTCAAATATCACATTTATACAAAAGTCTATCTAAAATGGAGTTGTTCCCTCCTAATCATATCATCCAACATGTTTAGTGCCCCAATGATTGTTTAAAGCGGAGGAGTCG